ACAGACATCAGTGCAACCAGTTAGAAAAGGGTGCTTATTGGCTTGTCCCGGGGCTCCGCGGTGCTCCCGGCTCTGCCTGTCTCCGAGGGCAGTCCGGCCCGAATGGAAAGAGGCCCACAGTTGTTTACCCAGACCTGACCTGTGCTTGAGCTCAAAGCTCAGAGACGCATTCAGTCCCCAAAACTAGAGTTTGAGCCTCTAGCATCCACACACTTGCCACCATGGGACCCGTTTTCCTGGGCACCTCCGCAGAAGACCTGCATGGGGAAGAGAACCCTGGACGGGACCCCTTCTCCAGGAATCTGCTAGAGGGCTGTGCCCGAGAGAGCACATCTGGCTCTTTGCCGCATCTTCTAGAAGTACCTCCACCCTCCCTCAGCCTCAGAGAGGTTCAGACAGATCAAGGTCCTTTGCCCCCTCCCTCGCCCTCCTGGTCACAGCCTGGCCCCGGGAGGAATGACTAAGCGGGGACCAGGAAGGGGGATGGGGGTGTGTGCATGCTTAGGGCCCTGGTACCTGTGCCCCAGGTGCGCTACCTGAAGATCATAGAGAAGAGCGGCTACCAGGCCCTACCGTGGGTTCGTTACATCACTCAGAACGGAGGTGCGTGCGGCCCACCCGTGGGACAGGTCGGGGGGGGTGCTGAAAAGGTCCCTGGTGGGCATGCTGCTGTCTCCAGGGTGGTGCTCACGGAGCAGCCCCAGGGTCGGGGCAGGTGGGTCCAGGGTGCAGAGCAGACAACAGATGCCTCCTCCTCACTCCTAGATTACCAGCTCCGGACCCAGTGAGGGGCCACGGTGGCCAACGCTCCCGGCCCGGCACTGGGGCTCCTGGTGGAAGCACCGGGAGGAAGCACCTGCCAAGCCTGCCGGAAGGAAGGGCTCCCCTGGACACCAGCCACCCTCCCGGCTCCACCCAGGGGCCCCTCCTCCTCCAGGCGCACCTGCTGTGCCGTCGCCACTCTCATCGCCCAAGTCCCTTTTCCCAGAAGAGGCTTATCTTCAAGAAGTCTCGTCTCTTTGCCCCCGAGTCAGTTTGAAGGGAAGGAAAGAAATCTTTCCCTCCAGAGATCAAATACAGCCTTCTGTGCTGTTTAGCTCCTAGTCACGAAAAGATTGGGAAACGCTCGCCAGACCACTGTCTGGCCGGGCTGGCAGGGCCACCGTTTTGTTGCCATTCTGTTGAACGTTGTATGTTTATTGAGTGTTCCTGGATTTTTGTCTTGGTCCGTTGCTGTTTACGTGAACTTCACTGTCCACGCCTCCTGCCCCTCATCCTGCAGCGCTCAGGCAGCACTTAGCGAGGACAGGGCCTCCCCGTTCCTCGCCCTCCTCCCCAGCGAGGCTGACGCTGGGTCGCCTTCCCACATCGGGCCAGAACCTGGCACTTTGATCGGAGGCTGCAGCTTATGGCTGTGCCTTGGAGGCTCCTTGGCCTGGACGCATAGGCTTCAACAGAGGCGCCTTCTGAGGGCCAGCCTGTGCCACACAATGCTGTCACTCAGCCACATCAGTGTTTGTCCCACCAGGGGAGGTGGGGTCCAGGAAGGGCCCCTGGCCTCAGAGGGTGGGGCGCACGGGTCATCCACATCCGTGCTTGGACACCACCACCTTCAACCCTGTCTGTGTTTGTGTCATGAGTACATTAAATTCCATCAGTTACACATGCTGCCTGCCTTCCATCTGATGCAGCGTGGTACTGACTCCCCATGGATGACCAGGGGGAGGTGCAGGCTCGCGCCAACCTATGTGTGGCTCCGTGTGGTGTCACCAGCTCCCAGTGCCCCTACATCCCCCAGGGAAGACGGGAACAGGCAATGGGACGGCAGAGCCATTGCGCTGGGCCACCAGGGCCACCCCTTCTAGGGGGGCCACACAGAGGAGAGCACATGAGCAAAATGTATCCCTCTCATCGGAGATGACTGTTACAACCCCCAACCCTCAGATCACCAACAGCTTGCCCCCATCCCTCCCCAGCCCAGTGGTCTTCCTTAGAGTGTGGTCCTGGTACCAGCAACATCAGCGTCCCCTTCGAGCTCACTACAAATGCAGGTTCACAGGCCCACCCTGACCTGCTGAGGCAGAGTCTCGGGATGGGGCCCAGGAGACCAGTTAACAGGCTCTACGTGTGATTCGTGCACGCACTGGAGTCTGAGAACCGCTGCCTGGTCCAGAGAGGGGATCCTGGTGGGCACATGGGCAGGAGGAGCTTGTGTTCCCACTAAAGGCACCTGCACCCACTGTCCCTCCAACGCTGGTGGCCCTGCCTGCCCCACACCCTCTTACGTTCAAGGACTGTGTTTTCTTCTCCCTCTCCCATATCACCCAGCTCCCCCTTGGAGGTCTAGTGGGCATCAGCCTGAGTGGAATCTTGGCCTTCTACCGTGTGGAGTAAAGGACGTTGCCCTGGCCCGGGGCTCAGGCCAAAGCCGTTGCAGGCACCCTTAATGCCCCACCCCTCACTCGCATGCCCACATCTGCAGCAAGCCCTGGTGGCCTGCCTCCAGAAGACCCTGGGGAGCCACAGTATACAAAGAGACAATGACCAGAATTTTCCAAAATTAGACATTTTAAATGTAAAATCTTTACATTCTCAGATTCAGGAAACCAGTGAGGCCAAATCAGGATAAGTAAACCTAAGTCTAAAACTAAGAAACATCACAGTCAAAATGCAAAACATTAGAGACTCAGTGAAGATCATAAAAAGCAATGCAAAGAAGAAAAAAACACACAAAAAAGAAAAAAGCAATTAGGCTGAGAGCTGGTTTCACAACTGCAAGGATGGAAGAAGATAAAGAATAGGCTCAAGGGTTTCCCTGGTGGCGCAGTGGTTGAGAGTCCACCTGCCGACGCAGGGGACACGGGTTTGTGCCCCGGTCCGGGAAGATCCCACATGCCGCGGAGCGGCTAGGCCCGTGAGCCATGGCCGCTGAGCCTGTGCGTCCGGAGCCTGTGCTCCGCAACGGGAGAGGCCACAACAGTGAGAGGCCCACAAAAAAAAAAAAAAAAGAATAGGCTCAAATTGCTAAAGAGAAGATGACTAGTCTGTGATGACCAATTCTGTGCCCAGCAAAAGAACAAAATTAAAAGTTTAACAATAGCAGACCCTCACGAAGCAACATGGCGTACAACAGGAAGGAGATTCAGGACTTCCCTGATGGCTCAGTGGTTAAGAATCTGCCTCCCAATGCAGGGGACATGGGTTTGAGCCCTGGTCTGGGACGATCCCACATGCTGCAGAGCAACTAAGCCCATGCACCACAACTGCTGAATCCTGTGTGCTGCAACTACTGAAGCCCATGCACCTAGAGCCCGTGCTCCACAAGAAGAGAAGCCACCACAAAATGAGAAGCCCTCACACCGCAACAAAGAGTAGCCACCTGCTCTCCACAACTAGAGAAAGCCCGTGCACAGCAGCGAAGACCCAACACCGCCAACAACAACAACAAAGGATTCAATGCAGGAGGAAGGAAAGAGACGAGGAGGATTGCTGAAAAAGCTTGGAAAACATTGGGAATATCTAAACTATCATTGACTGTATAAAGCAGTGGTAGTGATGAGTTAGTAATGTCTGAGTGGTAACATAAGTTACAACTAAAATTCTGGACAGCATCCTGCAAAATAGATAGGCAGTTGGCATCCATACCTCCCAAGGTCTTTTTACTGTTTGGGAAGAAGATGGACTAAAGTCTAAAAAAGCTATATATTCTTGTATAACTTCCAAACCAGTGGTTGGGAAACGGTTTAGAGAAAATTTTAACAAACCAACAGGAAAGGAGAGAGGAGCATGAAAAAGCGGGATAAATACAAGGTGTCCTAAGAATCTTTTAATAATAACACTTAAAACTGCACAACTTTTCCTACTGTGCCATAGAAACCGCAAAATAAGATTGTAGAAATAAATCCAAATGTTAGGAATCACAATAAATGTAAACGAAGCAAACCTGCTAGTTTAAGATACAAAATCCAGCTATATCCTGTTTGTGAAATATACACCTGAAATATAAGTACACAACACAGTTGAAAATAATGCTAACCAATACCAAAATAAACCTCATGTAGTTATATTAATATCAGACCAAGTAGACTTAAGGCCAAAAAAAAAAAAGTGTACTAGACCTTGAAACACTTTTCACAAATTCCCAAGAATTCTTGGTATTAGAGTCCACATTCTCTAAGGAATTCTCAAGAGAATTAAGTTAGACTTCAACAACAAATGAATTTCTTTAAAATATTTACAAATATAATTAGTTTTCTTTTTTTTTTTCCAAATTAGCAAAGTTTTACTTCAATTTGCTCATAAATGACTCTAAAAAGCCGATATGCAAGAGGCTGACACGCTGTGGTCTAAAGGCAACGTCGAGGCCACTGAGAATATCCCTCAGACAAGAGGCTCTGCTCAAAATCTCCCCCATCTGGGGTGAGGGCAGCAGGATGGGGGTCTGGGACAGAGGGATAAATACATCGTCTTAGCTCTGCCATTAGGGCTGGCAGCCCGGGACCCCAAGCTGGTCAATCAGAGGTCGACTGCTTGGAGCTTCCAAAGCTGCCCGAATGTTTGGGTGTTTTGCGGAAATGCTGAGGCTTTGGGAGGGCCCATGTGCCAGCTGGAAGGGCCCTCGGCCAGCCCCCTCCTCCTACTCCAGCTCCAGGGAGAGTGCAACTCCCTGTTGGCCGGGCCTGCTGTACCCTGGGGTCGAGGCAGCCTCTCACCCAGCAGCCCCTGCCAGGAGGGGGTGGGGAAGGGCATCTCCAGTGAGGCCCAGACAGGAATCTGCCCTAAAGGTGGCTAACAGCGGCCCACCTGTAACAGAGCCCTGCTCCCAAAGGGGCCCCTTGGGGACCAGCCCAGCGGGGTGACCTCCCAGACACGGGCAGGCCAGGCTGAACTCGGCCGCAGCAGGAGATGTGGGGGAGAGTGGTGTTAACAGACAACAGCAGGAGGGGTGGGTGCAGACAGGGCACGGTGAGTGTGGGGCGGAGCCAGCCCGGACCCGCCCATCAGAAGGCGAAGGAGCGCTCCTTGGGGTGGCCCACGCTGTCCAGGTTGGGCAGGCAGGCATGCTGGATCATGCACGGGGGTCCGCACATCAGCACCAGCGGCTCCTCCTCCAGGGGTGGAAGGTGGTCCCGGATCATCTCCTCGTTCACGAAGCCCTGGCTGTAGTCCCAAGCTTCAGGGGCACTGTCCACCATGTACCAGAGCTTGAAGCACTCAGAATGTTCGTTCTTCAGTTCCTCCAGCTCCGGCCGCAGCAGGAGGTCCTTCTCGGTCTGGTTGGCAAAGCGCAGGTGGCACACGGTGTGATCATCCCTGTCCTTCATGATGGCACGTATCACCTGTAGCATTGGGGTGATGCCCGTTCCTCCCGCAAACATGCCCACAGACTTCACCGTCTTGATGACAGGGTTGGATTTCTTGTCTGCACAGATGGCAAACTTTCCTTTGCCCTGGTAGACCAGCAGCCCATTTGGGTCTCGGAACTCAATGGTGCCTCCAATCTTCATGCTTTACAGGTACTGGGACATCTTCCCACCAGCGGGAAACTTGGGGTGGGTGTCTTTGAAGTAAACCTTGATGACCAGGTCCACAAAGCCCTTGTCATCGCTGGAGACAGGCGTGTAGGGCAGAATGACCAGGTTCCCATCGATTCAAGCCGAGAGGTAGATGTGCTAGCCCTACGGGGAGGCCCAGGATGTGCTGGGGCGACGGTAGAGCAAAGTGGAACCATCAGGTGTCAAGGCTGATGACCTCCTTGTCAATCGGCCGCAGCAGGTACTTGATGTCCAGGTTCTCAAGGGTGATGGCTGGGGTGGAGCTTTGGAACAGCTTCATGAGCAGGCTGTACAGGAACCAGACTGGGGAGAGGACCACGTGGCCCAACGTGCTCAGCCGGGCCCCTGTGGTGGCTCCGCTCTGCTCTAGCTCCGCTGCCGCCGCCGTGACCGCCACACCCTGGGCCTGCTCCCCCACCCCCGCCACGTCACCGAGCCCAAATATAGTTTTTAAGAACACTTCTAAATTACCATGTGTAATTAAAGAAGAAAATGTAATGGAAATTAGAAAATATCAGTGATTTTTTAAACATCTGGATGCAGGTTACATGGTGTTCTCACTTTTGAAAATTCATCAAGCATTTATGATTGCTCACTCTTCTGTATATATGTTACACTTCAGTAAAGTTTATAAAGAAAAAGAAGACAACAAATCTGTAAAGCAGCTGGGGGTGGAAAACACATTAACTTCAAAAGTGTGACAAGGTAAACAGCCTACTTTTCATCAGCAACAAAGGAAACCAGATGAAAGCAAAATGACATTTTCAATGTGCTGAAAGAAAACTGCCAACCCAACAAAAATATTTCAAGAATGAGGTTGAAATAAAAACTTTTTCAGACAAAGCCCGTATGAGTTTGCCAGCAGCAGCCAACTCACACTAAAGAAAATTCTAAATTATATTGCTTCGGGCAAAAAGAAAGTGATCCCAGATGGAAGGTCAAGATGTAAGAAGGAATAAAGAATAAAGAAGGAGTGAATACATGGGAAAACCTAAACAAACATAGGTTGCATAAAACAACAATAATAATGTTCCCTGGAGTTAAAAAAAGTGATAGAATTAAAATGTACAACAGAAAAAAAAAAGTCCTCAGGGAGTAAATGGAGTTAGAGTGTTCCAAGTCCACGATTGTGTGGGACAAAAGTAAAAAACATGGATGAAATCTGCATTTTGAAAAGCATGCATTATAACTTCTAAAGGAATCACTACAATAATAAAAGCAGAATTGTAACTTCCAAATGTTCAGAGGGAAGACAATGATTTTTTTAAAAAGCCACAGACAACCTAAAAGGAGGCCAGAGAGGCCGGGGGGGATAAAAAGGAACATAGAAAGGGTAAAAATAGAAAGTAAATTAATAGGCTAGATTTAAATCTAGATTTAAGTGTGATATCAATTATTACATTAAATGTAAATGGACTATACACTCCAGCTAAAGGTCAGTTTGTCAAACTGGATTTTTAAAAATTTCAACTCTATGTTATTTATAAGAGACACATAAAAACCATTAAAATACAGAAAGTTAAAAAATAACAGGATGGGTACGTCCCTGGTGGTGCAGTGGTTAAGAATTCGCCTGACAATGCAGGGTACACGGGTTCGAGCCCTGGTCCGGGAAGATCCCACATGCCGCGGAGCAACTAAGCCCATGCGCCACAACCACTGAGCCTGTGTGCTGCACCTACTGAAGCCCACGAGCCTAGAGCCTGTGCACTGCAACAAAGAGTAGCCCCCACTCACCACAACCAGAGAAAGGCTACACGCAGCAACGAAGACCCAGTGCAGCCAAAGATAAAATTAATTAATTAATTAATTTAAAAACATATATAACAGATGGGGAAAATAACCATAGAAATACCATAAGAAAGCTGGAATTGTTATATTAATATTAGACAACATATGCTTTAAGGCAAAATCATTGCTGGAGGTAAAGTGGGACATATTATTATAATAATAATAAAAGATTCATTTCATCAGGAAGATAAAAATATTTTTAATTTGTGTGACCCTAATAACATGGCCTCAAAATACATAAAGCAAAATTTGACACAACTACCAGGAGAGATAGTTAAATCCACAGTAATAATGAGCAATTTAAATTCATCTCTCTCAGCAGTTGATAGAAAAAGTAAACCAAAAAAGTCAGTAAAGATACAGAATATTTGAACTATACAATTAATAAATTTGACCTAATGGGCCTGCATATGTAGAACATTGTATTCAGCAACTACAAAATACATTTTTCTTTGAAGCACACACTGGGTTATAAAGCAAGGTTGAAGGAAATAGTCCCTTTACCAAAATGTTATTTAGTTAGGAATCAATTTTAAAACAATAATAAGAAAAATCTCCATATTTTGGAAACCAGTTCTAAATAACCCATTGATCAAGGAAGAAATTTTAGGAAAATTATATTTTAGGAAATTTTAGGGAAATTAATTTTTAGGAAATAATTAAATTTTGGAAAATTATCTTGAACTGAGAGATAATGAAAATACTTATTTAAAAACTTGCGCAATGCAGCTAAAGTAGCATTTTGAAGGAAATTTGTAGCCTTAAGTGTATTAATACTAGATATTAAAATATATGCAATATATGTTGCATATATGTAATATGTAATACAAAATTATATATATTGATAAAATATATATTATAAAAGAAAGACTGAAAATAATGAGCTAAGCATCTGTCTCCAGAATTTAGGAAAAGAACAAAATAAACCTAAGAGTATAGATAGGAAATAATAAAGAGTAGATATGAAGGAAATAGAAAGCAAACATTCAAATAAAAAGAATCAACAAGTCAGCTATTTTAAAAGATGAATGAAATTGAAAAACTGCTGGAAATTTTGAGCAAGATGAATAAAAGGCACTAATAGCTATTATTGAAAATGGGAAAAATAAAGACATTACTGTAGCTTTTGAAACATTAAAAAGATGAGAACAAGGCAAGTGCCACTTCACAAAGACACTCAGACCACTTTCTGTCTACCAAGATGTGTGCCTGGCCCAGAGCTTCATCCACCTCGAAGAGGACTGTCTTTTTCTAATCCACCTGAAGATACCATATGGGCAAGGAGTACTGGATAAAGGGGTATTATGAACAATTTTATGCCAGCAAACTTGAAAATTTTAGATAACTTGGATAAATTCCTAGAGGGGAAAAAAACTGACTCGAAAGAAATGAAAACTCTGAATTGTTCTATAACTACTAAAGAAATTAAACTAGTCAAAACTCCAGATCCAGATGACTTTATTGGGAAAGTTTTACCAAACATTAAAGAAAAAATAAGAAGAAGAATTTCACAAACTCTGCCCAAAGAATAGAAAAATAAGAAACATTTCCTTACTCATTTTAGGAAATCAAGCATGTCCATGAAACAATCTAAGACAAGAAAATTATAGACCAATCTCACTGATGACCATAGATGTGAAAATCCTAAATAAAATTCCAGGAGGTGGGGGGGTGGAGTTGGCAATGTATAGAAAGGACATAACATTGTGACTAAATTGGGTTAAATCCTGGGATGGCAAAATTGGTTTAATACTGGAAAAGCAATCCACTATCTTAAAAGGAGTAAGGGAGGGAAACATATGTGATCATTTCAATAGGTAGGTACAGGTAAAGTATTTGAAAAAATTAAACATTCATTTATGATTTAAAAGAATAAACAACTCTTAAGCAAACTACAACTATTGACAATAGTGTCAAAAAAATGAAGTACCTAGGATTAAATTTTTAAAAATATACAAGGCCTGTATGGGAACTTTATGGAGGGTCATTAGAGAAGACCTAGTGGGCAGATATACCATGATTATAGACAGTATCAAAGATGCCAGTACTCCTTGTGGTAGGCAGAATAATGCCCCCCAAAGATGTCCACATTCTAATCCCCCAAACCTATGAATATGTTAAGTTTCATGGCAGAGGGGTGTTAAGTTTGCAAATGGGATTAAGGTTGCTGATCAGCTGACCTTAAGAGGGAGATTACCCTGAATAACCTGGATGGGCTCAATGTAATCACAATAGTCCTTAAATGTGGAAGAAAGTGACAGAAGAGGAAGAACCAGAAAAGTTGCAGTGTGTGAAGGACTCAGCCCATTGTTGCTGGCTTTGAAGATGCAGGACGGGGCCGTGAGCCAAGGACACAGGCAGCCTCTAGAAGCTGGCAAAGGTGAGGAGACAGATTCTCCGCTGGAACCCCCAGAAGGAATACAGCCCTGCTGACACCTTGCTTTCAGCATGGTGTGACCCATTCCAGACTTCTGACCTCCAGAACTGTTACGTTAATAAATCTGTGTTGTTTTAACTTGGTGGTAATTTGTTACCGCAGCAATAAGAAACTAATACCCTCCTCAAATTGAATTATAGCTTAAATGAATTATAAAATTATAAATTATAAAAATTATAAAATTATAAAATTGAATTATAGCTTAAATACTACAACATGCTCTGACTAAGCAAGGTTTATTCCAGGAAGGATATGGGTTCCAGAGTACACTTGATCCCCATAACTCATCCCACCAGCAAACTGAACCACATCAGTAAATTTGGGAAAGGAACGCTTAAGACACAGCAGACTTTTCTAATAGAAACAGGTGTAGGGATAGAAGGAAGCTACTTCCCCATCATAAACGATCCCCATTTACCATCAAACATCATAAAGGGCCCCTCTCGGAGATCCTCGTAGACAAGCACAGAAGGAAAGGCTTTCTCTGGCACAGGCACACAGCCGGCAGGAAGGGCCAGTAATCGATGCCCCGCTAAGCCCCCTATGATTTCACAGCCCCGCCTCAGAAATGCTGAATTTTAAATTAGAGGCTAAAGTAACGATGTCATTGTCCTATGGCCCTGGCCCAAATTCCAACACAAGTCCCCTGTATACCCCTCACACAAGCACAAACGGTCCAAGAACACTCACCATAGCTCTGGAAGAGCTGACAATGGGAAATAACCAAATGGGACCTGGTGGGATGATGGCAGAACAGTTGTCAATTTATCCAGGCACATATTCCGCTCACTCAGTGAACGGCCCAGGGCTGGGGATGCTGACACGGCCACATCCCTCAGCTACGCCCAGTGGTCTCTACCAAAGCTGACCATTTGCCCAGCCTGCGACTCTACAGTTCCACCTCTGGGTATTCACCCAAGAGAACTGAGCACACATGCCGTGAAAAGACAGGGGCTCAAATATTCACAGCAGCCTGACACATGATAGCCCCAGACTAGAAACACAAGGCATAGATGAGTCACACAATGGAATATTATACAGCGACAAAAAAAGCAGAAGGGCTCTCCCCACGCCACCACAGAGCGGATCACGGGCACGAGCGAAAGCAGCTACTGCTGGGACCAGGGGGCTACTGATTGGAGGGAACCTCCTGGAATGATGGGAAAGCTCTACATTGTGACCTGGGTGCTGCTTACACACGTGTAAGCCAC